GTTGTTGTTTAAAATGACAATTTGCTTTTCCTTTTTCTATCTCTCAAAATCTTTCTGCAGTGAAAACCCTGAAACTATATCTTGGATATGTTTAAATGTGCACCATTTTACATATTTACATTTCATCAAATGCTTAAGCCTCATTAAATCAATTGGGGTTTATATTTATGAAAACTTGGTAATCTCTATGGTCTTATTCATGTATGTTTATCATTTCTATCACCACTACTATTACCACCATTTCTTCTTCCTCCAAAAATTTGGTGACTATTATCATCACAACAATTGAGAGGGGCTGAAAGAGGACTCTAAAACCTAACCTGGAGGGAGAAATGGAGTCGGCAGTGGTCAATACTTATTGGGGGCATCTATCAAAACCAAAGTCTAGAAAACTTTGGTTTTGCTTGGAAAAGGTTTTGATTGTTTGTCTGACTGTAGTGATTGCAAATGTGTTACTACAGAGTCAGGGAGATATGTGCTTGTTTCTTTTTAAGAGAGATCTTGGGAAAGCCTAGGAACTTTTCTCTTTTCTGTTTCAAAAATAGAGCTTAAGAAACTCAATTCCCAACTAGATAAGTATTTCCTTATTTAGTAGACTTTGTGTTTGCTGTTTGAAGGGTATATTTTCCACAACGGTAGATGATGTTCAATGTATCAGGCTAAATGGATCTGTCCCTAGGCATCAAGATATGGTCCTAGAATTCCAGGCTTATCAGCCTTCATATAAAGGGAATGTGTGCTTTAATGCTTTAAAATGCAAAAAAGGGAGGTTAATTGGATGGAAAACCCTTATTTTAAATAACTAATTATGCATTTGTTCTGGGAAAAATAAAAGTCAATATGAAACAACAATCTACCTTCATGAAAAGTGTAATAATTTACTATGTGCGGAATTTAGTCTTCAGTATGACAACAGACAAGGATGTCCTTTCCTTGACTGTTGTGTATTGAAGGGATAATAGATTTTTCCAAAATCAGGCCTGGAAAACAGTTGGAAATCAAAGAAACACCACCATAAAAGGAAATATGTACTTTACAAGTCCAGAATGTCCTCTGCCAATCGGATTTCTATGCAGGGAAATTAGTTCCTCAACACACACATGTCCTACTCCCGTGTGTCTCTGCTGCTCTTTTCTATTAACACTCAAACAGCCTCATGGGCTTCTCCTCACTCCTCCAGAAAGCAGGGACAGCCAATCATGATTTTCAAGGGCAAAAAAAAAATATTGTTTTTTTTTCTGAAAGAAGAGAGCCCTCTCCCTTCATAATTCAGGTCAACAAACTACAGATTTCAAACCTAATCTAATTCTACAAATAAGGAAAAAGATATTCCCAGAAGTATATGCAGACTACATCCTAACTTGGGAAGGAAAAGAGTGAGCTTCTGAGCCATACATATGGTTGAATATTCTTCATCCCATGAAGACTAGATAAAAATAAAAAAGAAGGAATTGGAAAGTATAAAATTGTTAGACTTGGACAGTTAGACAGATCTTTGATGCCCTGCTAACATCTTCTAGTGCCATTGCTTCTCTCTTTCAGGTTTTGGTGAAGGCAGAAAGATGACAACCCCTTCCTGTGCTCAATTGAATGTGGTGTTACCCTTGACTGTGAAAATGGGATCCAAGTGAAGTGTAATGAAGTGGTATCAAAGACACAGAAGCTTCCTCCTGCTGACAAGTCTCCCAGTTCTGAGATTCTTTGGGAAAAGGCACTTTTTAAAAATTCTCATCTGTTAGCTCTACCTTCTGGAGCAGTGAAGAGAGGTGACTCCATGCTCCAGATTACCCTTTTCCACTTAATGAGGGAGAGTTTTGGGCAATTGTGTGGATCACTTTGACAAATGCAGAGAGACTGGACATAAGCAGGGAACAGGACAATGCCTTTCCGTGCTCTCACTCATTTCTCAGGACTTTTCTGAATTTTTCAAGGTTTTTTAAATCATAGGAAAGCCTGAAAACAATCCAAGTAGAACTCTGAAGGATTTGTCAATTTCTTATGGGTCATTCTATCCAAGCAAGAGGTTTCAAATGGAAAATTGAAGAAGTAAACTATAGGTGGCATTTGGCTAGTGACACAGGCAAGTATAAATTCATTGTATACATACATATCATTTTTGGTTGCTGCAACATCACTGTGCAACATCCAAAGCCTCTACACAGCCATTCACTTGGTTTTGAAGAAAATAGGCCAGATTGGATAAGTATCTATGTCTCCATAACTGGACACAGACTTACGACTTCTTCTCCAAGATCCACTGGGGTCCTCTGGAAATCTCAGCCAATGATGTTGTCTTTCTGCATCTGGCTATGGGGATATAGTTAGGCATTTCTCTGATCCTCCCTCCACCAGCTATGAAGAGGCTGTGGGGATGGGGTGATCACAGCACAACTGAGCATCCCAGGGGTAGTGACAGGAGAGCCATAGTGGAGTCACCCTTTCAGATTCCTTACATTTCACTCAACTGTGTAGAATCTTACTTATGATTAATGATATAATTCTTAACTCAGCTTATTCAGCCCACAAGTGTCGAAAGTAGCACTTTGAAGTAATATGAAAGGATACACTGATTTGAATGCAGAATGACAAACAAAATTTCATATCTACACTTCGTAATATATGATAGCTTAGAATACGAAGTTTAGCATAATATGCTGTGACCAGAGTCTTATCATTCCATTGCTGTTACACATGGGCTCTGTGTCGTTATATCTATTTTCCTTAAACATATTTTTTTCAAAATGTGCATTCTATGAAAAAGTCATCATATCTCTTATGAACAACTCACAAAGCAGCCCCCACTCCAAAACGTTTTATGGTGAATTATTTCCCAGTTGAAAATAAGGCAAATACAGGTTAGGATAATATAAAATGTATTAGATCTGCAAAGGTCAAGTTGAACAAACCTTGGGTCTTACTTCTTACTATTCTACAAAAGAGAATAAGCAAATTCTGAACAAGAACAATACAATTCTCTTACAATTAACTAAGAGTAAACCCCACAACTTATTAGTGTTTCCTTCTGGGCTCATATATGCAGTCTTATCTGCACAAACTTTGTTGTGGAATTAGAGAAAAGCCAATAAGGGTTCCTAAACCAAAGGGTATGTATTAGAAAGATTAATGTTCTAGTATTACACAGTTGACCTGGCTTCCCAACTAGTGGTGATTTTAGGCTAGTTTAGTAAATATATCAGTTGTTAGTAGAACAGCAAAGCCTTGACATCATCTTAAGCTTCTGTCTTAACAAAATTGGATTAAAAATTCTGATTATCTTGTATGGATGTTTCATCATTACTTCACTATGGCTTGCCTTGTCATATATTCTTTGCAAGATCACCGTTAACTCAATTGAATGGTACAAAATGTTGGCTTTATCTTTGACATTTCGTTGAGTCATCAAGTCACAATACTGCAAAAGTATTCTCATTCCACTCTTCCTAGTAAGAAACATGACCCACAGTGATATGCTCCTATCCTGCACTCTCGCACTTGCTTACTTAGGGGCAAATCCATTGAATTCTGTCTCCACACTTATTTCTAGAGTTCTGCTTCCAAAATAATTGATTTCACTCATTATTATATTACAATGAGCATTTTCATCATAGCATTCCACATGAATTACTTCAATTTTGAAGTTTTATTTATATTTTGATCATCTTCTTTGTACGTATTATTATCATCACCCTCATCATCTTCAAAGCACGTTGCTCTTCTAAATGGTTCTATATTGGCCTAAACGCAATCGCTCATTCCAATTAAAGTAGGCTAAATAGTAAATCAACCATTATGTAAATTCCATCAATTCAACGAGTCTACTCCAGTTGGGATGACTAATTGGATTTAAGCCACTGCATTATTTTAGATACAAATATAATTAAACACGATTTCATAAAAAGACCAACATTTTCAGCAAAACAAGCTGTTTTCGCAACATAGCTAAAAAGACACCTGTGTTCATTGCTCAGGGTCAGCCCCTTCAGAACAAAGCCGCCAAAATAGGCAGAAGATTATGAGTATAATGAAAAGATAACAAATTGATCATTCTCTGTTTAATATTATCATTTGTTTGTTGTCTGAGAGACTGAGCAAGCTGTTTGGGGATACTGTACCTCAGATGCCAAAACAATTTGGTTGTCCTTTGTTACTGAGTGCCATTATTTAAGTGAGATGGGTGCCATCTGCTGCTCCACCTCTGGCAGAAAAATGCCTTGAGCCAGCTCTTTCTTAATTCCTTCATACACTTTGGGCCATAAACGAAAGGAAAGAAACATGCCAGTGTTATGCCAGGAAATGTAATAATGTGGTCTACTTGCCTGTGAATTCCAGGCCCAGGATTTGGTCTCTATCTTTGCTGCAATTAATAATAATATTAATGATATTAATGATATTAATAATAATAGTAATAATAATTTTTATTTATATCCCACCACCATCTCCCCAAAGGGGACTCGGGGTGGCTTACATGAGGCCAAGCCCAGAAATACATTACAACAGAATACAATAAAATAAAACCAAAACAACAGAACTAACATCACAGTGAAATAAAGCATAGGAATACAATAAAACAAAACAAAATAATGCAATGAAAAATCAATCACAGTGAGCAGGCCACATGTACAACATAAAATGATAAAACTCTGGATGAGAAAATGAAAGGGAAATGTTTGTAAGGGATAAACTTGTAAGACGAAGTAGCGAAGAACAGGTTTTCACACAGGTGGAGGGAAATACAGTAAAAGTACAACATTGTGGGAGGAATGACAAAAAGGAGGTACATGGTCACTCTCTGAAAGCACAACACAAAAGCCAAGTTTTGAGATCCTTCTTGAAGGCTGCTAAGATAGGGGCTTGCCTAATCTCACCAAGGAGTGAATTCCAGAGTCCAGATTGTGTCTTATGACCTCATTAGGTGAAGAAGGTGAATCTGTGGAGCAACAGGGTGAATCTGTGGGGCAGTGGGGAAAATTGTCGGACAGCATCCCATATCACCTCCTTACCGTTTCACAGTGTTTCCCATCTACTCCAGCTTCATCATGCGCTGTCCCTGGCTTCTTGAATGAGAAGTGTTGTGGTTCAGCCAGATGAGGGGTTTGGGGATTCAGGGCTTGATGGTTCTCTAAGTGAGCAAACAGAGGGGGAAACAGAAGGGTTTTTAGAGCAGGATGGTTCTCCAGTTGAGGGAACGGAGGGGGGTTTGGAGCAAGATGCTATTGCTGAAACAAAGTATGAGAGTGAATCTGTTTTGGAAGCCAACAGGCAGGGAGGGGAGGATAACATTAGCTCATCTGAGGAAGCAGCTGGCTTAGACAGAGATACCAGGCAGCTTCTGAGAAGACAGAGATTCAGGTGCAAGAAAACCCATGAGAAAGAGAGGCAGAATCAAGCCTCTCAAGGTCAAAGTAATGTGTTCATGTTTTGCATCCTTAAATTATGGAGAGAGCTTTTAGGATTTCAGATCAAGCAATGTTGCTACTGGAGTGTGGAACTCCTGTCTCGTTCCATCCAAGAAGCACAGATATCTATGAACAATAACAAAATACAAGTTGCAAAGCATTATCAAAACAGAACTGTGTTAACATAAAGCATGTAAATACACTGCACATGAATCACAAAACAAAACTGAATGTTACTTAGTTATCTTGTAGTCCTTGACACAGTAAATTATCTTCAGATGTTTTTGGCCTACAACTCCCAGAAATCCCAGCCAGCTTACCCACTGTTAGGATTTCTGGGAATTGAAGGCCAAAAACATCTGGGGACCCCAGGTTGAGAACCACTGATCTAGAGGATGGAGCCCCACTTCAGACATCACACGACGTGTGAGTTCCGGGAGAGGTCCTGCCTCCAACTGGGGTGAAAGTGTTGCTGGACGCTTTCCCCCAACATGAGAGGCTTCCTATATTGTGCAGGCTCCAATGGAGCCAGCATGAGGCCTCTCTATGGGGGTGATGCTTTCCCCATGTGATGGGGAAAGTACTGCGTAGAGGGAGCTGCATGCAGGGTGACAATTTCACCCTGCTGCTTCCTCTTTCCTCCCAAATGCCAGGCAAAACAGGATGCTTCGCCTGGCCTTTATGATGAGGCTGCAGAGCTGCCAAGCTCAGACCTGAATCCAAGAGTTCACCAAAGCTGATATCCAAGCTAGATCTCACCTTCCACCTTTTACCACAGTGCCTGCTCTGAAATTCTGCTCATCGCTTCTCCTTTCCCATTTTATGTTCTCAAGCTCCCAACACATTCAGCTTCTTCTGCGCCCACTTGTGGTACGCTGGCTACCGCAAATGTTTCCACCAACCCCAATTCACACTTGCTATTACCACATACAGTAGAGTCTTGCTTATCCAACATAATGGGCTAGCAGAACATTGGATAAGTGAAAATGTTGGATAATAAGGAGGGATTAAGGAAAAGCATATTAAACATCAAATTATGTTATGATTTTACAAATTAAGGACCAAAACACCATGTTTTACAACAAATTGACAGAAAAAGTAGTTCAATACAAGGTAACGTTATGTAGTAATTACTCTGATTACGAATTTATCACCCAAACATTACAATGTATTGAAACAGTTGTAGATCCGGGCAGAAGGCAGACTGTGTTAGATAATACAGAACGTTGGATGAGCGAAAGTTGGATAAGCGAGACTCTTCTGTACTAAGTATACCCAAATACTGGTAAAGATCAAAATATTACTAAAAGAAAAAATGCAGAGGAAGTTTAAAGCAAATGAGAAATCTAAATTGGTTTTGCAATTATCAAAGAACTAAGACAATAGTTATTAAAAGCAGTAAAGTCACCAAGTTAATTATTGACTTCAGAGGAGCAAGCCTTGTGACACTGCTTGTTGTTTTTTTTAAAAAAAATGCATTACCTAGAAAGGACAGAATCATATACATTACAGAAACACAAATAAGAAATTTGATTTCATATGTAGGCAGTGATAATAATAACATTAGAGCAAGCATAATCCAGCATCCTTGAACTTCTTTGGGTCTTGGATAGTTTCAGGTAAGACTGTTAACGAGTCACTAATGGGTTAAATTCCAGAGTGTTATCTTAAATAACCAATCACAAAATTTCCTTTAGAGATGTAGTATAGTGTGCGTTCATAGTGAGGTGTAGTGACCAGTGTGTTGCACTAAGATTTTGAGAGACCAGGATTCAAATCTACACTCAGATATGGAAGTCCAACAGGCACAGTCTCTCAACTTAAGCAAAAGGCAATGGTAAAACAATCAATTTTTCTTTTGAAAAGATCAAAAGATAAGGTCACCATCAGTCATATAACAACAATCCTCTATTTTATCAGGCAAGGTATATGCTGCATTATGTGCAATTTCTGTTATTGATGAATAGAAGTGAACTTATGAGACAGATATCACATCAGACTATGATTCTTCTCAAGAACTTTGCACATTAGCTTTCCTAGATCCAAGATGTTCAGTCAAGCCAAGGACTCTCCTACATATTATCAGCTTTTGACATATCTTAAGTTATCATTTGGCATCTCAAAAATTAAATATGAAATTGTCATCCATCTGCTCTGTCATTCTGGGTACAACTTTACAAACTAGATTTGAAGGTGCCACTAGACCAAGATAAACTATAGTTGCCCTGGAGCAGGGCTGTAGCCAAGGGTGGGGGGGGGGGCGGTTAGGGGAACCCCCCCCCCCTGAAATTTTTCAGGTTAAAAAAAAACCTGGTTTACTCATGAATTTTAACTGGTTAACCAAATCCCCATGCTAAGTCTATGAGAGCAAAAATTTTAAAAGTCCCTCCAGAACTGCAAGCACTATCTCAAGCAAATGTTGACCATTTATTCAGTCATCACTTGAAGCAATAGCTGATATAGTGGAAGCAACCAAGTTGGCCCACCCACAACTGGTAGGCAAAGCCTAAGGCATGGGAGGGATTTGAAGCCCCCCATGAAGGAGACAAGAAAATTGATTTAATTAAGTCTATATAAAATATAGAATGAACCATACTATTAAATTACTTTGTGTTATGGAACTACTTCTCATGATCCGCTAAAAAAAAATTCAACACTCCTCCCCCCATTTTTTCTGGCTACAGTCCTGCCCTGGAGCCAAGTGTACAGGGATTTCTCTAATCCAGCTGATCCACCACAGTCCTTTCTTCTACTAGCTCTATATGTTTACAAAAGACAAATTCATTATCCAGAAGGGAAGACATTCAAATAACCTGTTCAGATGTTGAAATGACTATGATAAAAAGATGAGCATCTCAACATACATAGGAAAGAGCAGTAAAAATATTTGGCATAAGCAGTAACAATTTTTAGGTTTAAACCAAAATAATAATAGCAATGCTGTTTGCACAGATGACACACATAGTAGGAACATAGAAAACTGCCTTCTGCAAATCCAAACCATTAGTCCCTTCTGGCACATTTCTGTGTGTGCTGACTGTCTCCAAATCTCTTGAAAATTCCAGCAAGATTTTCCCTAGCCAGACTTGGGGACTGAATCTGGAACCTTTTGCATGCCAAGTATGTGTTCTTGCATGTGCACATGGATGCAATTATCTTGCTATTTGAAACATGGCAACCTGGAGCATATTTATAATGATGCTCTGTAGGTGCACTAGATATTCTTAACAGACTGATGTGCTGTTGAAATACCACAGCCCATACAATTGGATTTATTTCCAACAAGGGATAAAAGGGATGCCTATGATGGGCAGAGTTTAAATTTACCTCTTGGATGTTCCGTTATGACTTCATTCATCCCCTGAAACGGTAGTAGCTGACACAGCATTTCCAACTACCTCAGAGCTGCACAGAGGGCAAAAGATAGGCACATTTAATTATGCCTGGAACAAAGTTTGCATCAATAACTCTAAAGCTTTCAGCTCTTTTGTGCTATTAAATTAAAAGACACCCATGCTTTTCATACATTAAAAATCAACTCCTGCCAAAAGAGGATTCAGGAAGATGAATACAATTAATCCAGCACCAACCTTGAACCCATACTTCCATCAAGAAATCACTCTCCATAGTGCTAAGCTACCCAATGTAGTGAGATATATTTTGATGGAGATATATACAACACAACTGAAATGCCACTTATAAATTACTGACAAGAGCATTTCATACTCCTGAATAATCCTTTTCCTTGTTCTATACAGAAAAAAAATGCTTGCCTGTTTTGACATCATCATTTTAAAAAGAAAAGGCTGGGTTCTGAATCAGGATCTTCTGGATTCAAATATATCCTTTACCATTCAGCAATGGCTCCTTTATCTGTAAACATGCCACTTGGTGTAGCCAAAGCAATTATTGCCAGGGATTGAGATTGTAAGCGATGGGTAAGGTCTCAAAATCAATAAATTAAAACAGGGTTCACAATACCAAGGAAGAGGAGGGGTAAGGCACAAAAGTGTCCTTGTTTCCATCCATTTTTTTTTCTTTTTTGTGTGGTGAAGACACCAGTCAGCCTAGTTTTCTAATTAACTGTCAACTGTTCAGAGACTCCTTCCTGGCTTGTAAAAGTGCATTACACAAACAAACAAAGCCAAGGATAACAAGAAGAAATAAGCAAGGAAGAACACATCCAAGAAGGAAGGCATGAGTAATATCAAGATAGTTTGGTGAGTTCCTTACACAAAATAATTGTGGTAAAAGCATCATGGTGCAAGGGCATTAAATGCTAATCAAAGTGGCTAATTGCAACATTCACACTTGCCCCAAACAGACAAGAGTTCTTTCTCCCACCCTGGACATTCCACAGATACCATATTTCCCTGAAAATAAGACACTGTCTTATATTTATTTTTCCTCAGGAAGAAACATTATGGCTTATTTTCAGGGGATGTTTTATTTTTATTAAGTACTAGCCATCCCCTGCCATGCGTTGCTGTGGCCCAGTCTGTGTATATGTGTGTGTATATATGTGTGTGTATGTGGTTTTGCGCATGCATTGTAATGTATTTTTATTTATTTATTTATTTATTTATTTATTTATTTGGCTTTTAAAGTCTCTTCTGCTATGTTTTTCAGTGTTTTATGAGTGACGGTCACTCATTGACCTGTTAGGTGTATTGTGTCCAAATTTGGTGTCAATTTGTCCAGTGGTTTTTGAATTATGTTAATC